ATCAACATGCACCACACAAGACTTGCAAATACGATCAGTCACTATCTTACTCCCAGTAAGAGTGTCAACACACATTTCATATTCCATATGGGTAGCAGACATACCAAGTTTCATTACAAAACTTGTGGATACAAAAGAGTGTGAAGCACCAGTATCAAACAATACATAAGCATATGCTGTTGAAACAAGTAATGTACCTGTCACCACCTTATCAGAGGCTTCAGCATCTTGCCGAGTTATGGCAAACACATGACCTTGAGCAGTAGGTCTCTGGTTACTTCCTTTATTCGATCCCAAAGCAGATGCCCGTTCACTAGCCACAGGCTGTGTCACTTGAGGAACTCTAGAGTTCTGCCTTGCCCGACGACAATCACTGCTTTATGTCCTTTCTGTCCACAATTGAAACATGCACCTCCTAAGTTCTTGGCTCGAGGACAATCCATAGCATGATGTCCAACTTGCCCACAATTAAAACATGCACCAAAAGAAGTCCTATTACGAGGACAATCAACAGCTCGATGTCCCATTTGCCCACAAGTTAGACAAGCACCATTCAGCCACCTGCAATTTCGAGCCTCATGAGGTCCTTGACATTTCCAACATCTAAGATTTCCTCCTTGTTGATTCCTAACCCCAGAATATGTAGAGAATCCAGTGCTCTGTTTCTTATTTTGTCCAGAGCCCAAACCTCCAAATCTGTTTCCACCCTGTACTTCAAGCCATCTTTGCCTCTTCACCCCACTACCTGACCCTTCCCCGGTCTTAGTGAGTTTAAGAGCTTGCTCCACTAGCTTAGCCTTGTTAACAACCTCAGAATAGGTCTTTAGACCCGAGGTCATTACTTCATGCTGAATGTCAAGGTTGAGCCCAAAAGTAAATTTCTGAATTTTGGTCTCTTCATCCCCCTGAATAGCAGCTGAAACAAATTTAGAGAGTCGATAAAGCTCTTTCTCATAATCAGCCACTATTCTATTGCCCTGTTGCAAATTGAAGTATTTTCTTTGCATTTCAACCCTCACACTGCTAGGGATAAAATCTCTATAAAAAGACTCCTTGAATTTCTCCCATGTTATTGGAGCAATAAGAATACGCTCCTCTGCTTTCCACCAATTGTTAGCATCCGCTTTCAACATATAAGCAGCAAACGGTACCTTTTTCTCCTCCAACACACCTTTCCCCTTAAAAGCTTTCTCAATATCATCAATCCAGTCCTCAGCTACCACTGGATCAGTGGAGTAACCATCAAAAGGTTTTGTTAATTTGACAAAGTCTGTCAATCCACATTTTGACCCTGACATTGCATCTACAAAAGCTTGCATCAAATCTCTAACAGTAGGTTGGTCCTGTTGTCCCATTTGTCCTCCATCATCATTAATCCTCTGTTGATCATGATTCCCAGTGGATGAATGCTGGGACTCATTTTGCTCACCACCTCCTCCCACATTCAAATTCACTGGCTCACTTTGTATACCAGTAGCTATGCCTCCATCTAACCCAACTTGCCTAGCTCGGGGTGGTCTCCCTCGTTGGAGGCCAACTCCCTGACTAGCCGCAGACTTGGTGTTTCTTCTAGGAGGCATTGTTGTGGGGTGCTATCAAAATTAGAAAGGAGAAAATTAATTCTCTAAGTAATAATCAACCATCATGCTAGAAATATATGTATACATAAAAATATATTTACATCGATAAAGTATGCGAATATGTCCCTTCTATTATCTACCCCACTCTTGCTCACCATCGATTAATCTAAAATCCTTAACTTGACCCTAATCATCCAAACCTGGCTCTGATACCACAAAATTTGTCACGCCCCAACCCAAAGATTTAGGCATGACAAACGCCACACATCTATAGATTAACCCTATAAATGTGTAAGGCCATTTTTCCTTGACTATTGATACAATCTCCCTTGCAATTTAAAAATAAATAATTCCATTAACAAATCTTAATAGTCTCCAAATAACAATATCAAATCCCTTAACCAAAATATAAATGTTTAACATCTTATTCCATAAAACCAAATAAACCTCCAATTGAGCTATTGTTAAATTCTGCCAATTTATTCTAATGATCTCTCAATCCCCATGCAAGTCCCAATGCTCATACCTCTTCACCTGAAATGAGATAAAATTTGAAAACGTGAGTTTAAGAACCCTGTAAGTAGTATACCCATCCATCACAACCAAGCATAAAAAAAAATATTTATAACTGAATTTTTATTAAAAATGATATGATAAAAGTATACTTCTTTCCTCGAAACCAAAATATTTCATTACTCGTCCCTTATGACTGTGCAACAATCCACAATCCACGATCAATGATACTCAATCATCAATCCACGATACACGATCCACAATCCACAATCCACAATCCACAATCCACAATCCACAATCCACAATTCACAATGCCACAATCCACAATCCACAATCCACAATCCACAATTCTCAATTCCACAATTCACAATTCACAATCCATAGATCCCGGATCTATCACAATACCAACTCAACCCTCACAAGGGTGAATCATCCAGCCAGGACAAATAAAAGAAACCGTTCCAAAAAAATACAATTTCAATAATATTGGAAAAAGACACATTTAAATTAGCCACCTCCACATGGCCACAATCTCATCTCAATTTTAAATAGAAGTATTATGCTCGATTCACAAATCATCTCATTCCATCATTAAAAAATATTTAGTATAAGTCATTCTCCAAGGAATAGATGAATAAATAATCAAATAGATAAATAAGTCAAATCTGGGCAAAACCCATTTAATTATATCGATTTATTTTAAAACCATTGGAGGGTATAGCTACTTACCTCAATAACTATCTTTCAATTGCAATTCCACACAACTACTTGGAGCCTAGAGAAAAACAGCAAATAAATATAACCCAATCACTAAATAGAGTTTAACTAGCGCTATTTAAATATTATAGGAACTAATCTCAATTTCTCATATCATCCGTGTCTTACTTTCTCACTCAATTTCACAATTATAAAATCAATTCCAAAATCAACTATTATAGTAAAATCAATCCCTCATTATTCTTTTAATCATCAAAAACTCTAAACTTAAGAAGACAATTTACCTTCAATTAGTTTAATATGGCCGGTCCCTAGAATCCCCCTTGCTATCCACAAAAAGAAATCAATTTCGCTTCCCCGAAAGAAAGAAAGAACAAAAATATAAAACTGCCGACTGCACTCCGACCCAATTTGATTTGGGGGTTTTCACAAAAAGCGAATATTACCACCTAGTCCCTGAACTTTAACCATAAAGTTTTAGTCCTCGAGTTCCTCACCTCACTATAATTCTAGCCCCAAATTTAATTCTATAACATATACATCCACTAAGGGCTTAAATAATTTATTTAAATTTCAAAATAATAATAATAATGATAATAATAATCCATAGTATTACA